CAGTGTAAGCCAAACAATATGCTTGGCGGTTAGGGTTAAAAAAGGGTCTTACAGCCCAATTTCGACAACTGTTTTTTTACCCTGTAATAGGCCGATTCGTGTTGCAGAACACTTGAAGTTTATATAAATAAAAGAGTGATGAATGCCACTGCTTTCTTGGGCATGTGGGAAAAGTGCAACTCTTGAGGGCACCAATTTGGCCAGGACTTGGTGGCACCTTAAAAAAAGGGACGCAGACTGCACACGAGTCGATGCACAGCTGTAAAAAAAGAATAGCCGGTACTCGGGGGGACCCAATTTCAGTCGGGTTCCCCAACATAGTGTAATCATTTGAAAATGTTAAATTTAAAGAACCAGACTCTATTCTGTGATTTCATTCCGACCCCCTCCCCCATTCACCCGGCACCAACCCGTCAATGGTTTCAAATGTATACAATACGTTCAGGAATACGACTGGAATTGGGTCTCCTGCGAATACGGCCTGTTACGACTAGCCTAATTCCTGGTCGAATTCCACCTGACCTTTTCCACCGATTTCGCAAAGTATGATAACCTCCTAAAATGCTAGGCATGCGGGTAAACTATGACATCGTTTGGTTTCTTTCAAGCGGCAGAAATTGTATGGTGATTTCAAACAAAGGCACAAAAAAGTAATGGTTTGATATTTGATATTGCTGTTTCACATTTGTTGATTGAAACGATCAATATGAAATCCATATAGCATGAAAAATTTCTTGTTTCTACACTACACATCTCAGGGATGACGTCTCATCTCACAACCCATCTCATCCCAGCAAAATTAAAATTCAGGTACTTTTTGTCTCACTTTTTCTCAAAAAGACGGGTTTGTGACAGTCAGCTGGCGTATGTCAAATCTGGACGATATCTGCCCGCACCAGTTACGGGACACCGTTTTATGCATGGAGAACGTTTCATGCTTACACAGCGTTTGGTTATCATGCATGAAGTTGTACATCTCTTGGCTGCCGACGGCAAAACTGCCTACAGTCTTGCCGGCATGGATGCGCTTCTTGGTGTTGGTGATGATCCCCTTCTTGACCAAGGGCAGGATGCCGCTGCTGAACATCTCCGTGTGGAGGCCCAGATCCTTGTGCTGGGTCAAGCAGGCCAGGGTCGCGTCTGGAATCGCGCCGATGCCTGGGCATGGGTATTGGGATCGAGATGACAATACGAATTGTTCAATATGGCAGCGTGAAAGTGGCGTGCAGAATACCGGGCACTCTTCAAAGATTTGCAGAAATTGAATTTATTGGGAAAAAAAGCACTGAAAACAACGACAAGCAGATCGGAAATAAAGATTTGGAAGTATTCTTCCGTATTTCATTAATACAATACCTTATCAAGAATTGCTACAGAAACAAAACTGATTTCTTCATGCCCTGCCTGCAAAAATTTCCCCATTATCACAGGCAAATTCAAGGCAATTTGTCGACCCATGCAGACAACTATATCAAGAGTTTTGTACAAATCTGGCATCTGAGGCAAACACATGTGCACTGTAACTTTTTTCAAAGTGATCGCACATTTTAGAAGTATCCCTGGTTTTGCTTTTCTTTCCAAAAATTTGGAGTGCATCATTTCTTCAGATTTTGTTATTATAAACTCCATAATTCCAATCTATAAGTATGTTATTGTTTAAAATGGACAATAAAAAAGTTACATTTTATTTAGAAACTATTTGTAAATGTACACAACCGAAGCGTCAATCGTATGAAACAGATCTTTTGTAGCTAAACTTTTTTTTATTAAGATCCGTGTCTGCTTCAAAACACGTACAAGGAAAACTTCCCGGGGGATTCAAATCCGTCAAATCAAAATCCACAAACCAGCCAGACCCTGAGCCAAAGTGATGGCTTCAGTCTTAAACAGAATAAACATTAGCCCATCTCAGTGAAATATGCATTAGATGCAGTTAGTTTGGAAATTACTTCACATGTTAAATCCCCAGTTACCGGTCTGCAGTGTTGCACCGTTGTCCACGAGATTCTCAGCGATGTGTTTGCCAATTTTACGCTGCTCTTCAGTGATCTGCAGTGGCTTCTTGTTGTGGAGTGGAGTGTCGATCTCCACCACCGAGTCAAAGTGCGAGATGTGGATTAGACCGTCTCCGAGCGTCCGTGGCATATTTTTGTTCACCTGACCTGGATGTGAAACCCCATTTACAAAAAACATAGTTTTATCAGGGTGATAGATTTACGCATTCCCATGTCACGTCGGATGCGGATGACATGCTAACACGATGTGGCAGTGCTGTGTGCAATAGCGACTGATGTCTATATTCCTCTCCTAGTGCTAGTGATTTTCATTGAGTTTGTACACACACAAGCTCGACCTGGTCCATGGAGATTAAGCATGTGGGGCGCCCTCAAGCGGTCACGGGCCACGGCAGGGTGTTACGGCAAGCATCGCTCTGCAACACTGCCTCGGAGTTTTCAAACTATGATGGTGCAGTCGGAACTGTCATAGAAATCTTGGCCCAACGACCACCACGGGTCAGGGTTTGTTGAGTCCAGCTTAATCAAGGACTGTGGTTGTGGTATCATTTCATTTTGGAAAGTCGCTGCGTCTGGGACAAGTTAGTTGGGGAAATAACACCATGCTGAGAGGTAAAACTCGTGGTCACTCACTGGTTGGATCGACGCAAATTGGGGACAATAGACCGATTGTGTCCACTAAGTCACATGACCCATAGCGGGTATATTCAATATCAACTGGCACAGTGTCCACCAAAAGCAATTTAGGGTTTCATACACATAAGTATCATTTACCAAAAATAAAGCCAATGGTAGGCACCATACTCAGACTACTGATGTGCTGGGTACCATACCGTAACTTGGCTGAATTGTTGGTACACAACACTCAAAATATATGTCGCAATCGGTCTAGTGCTTGTTTGGAACCACCGACTCTATGATCGGGAGTTACAAAAGCTAACCAAAATCGCATGTATCCCTGTAACGCTGCTCTGTAAATATGACATCTCTCCAATTCATTTGTTCCTGCAGGTGGTGCGTGGCACGACATGAATGAGGGACTGCAACTCACTCGGCGAGCGTGTCCACTCACCGATGATATACTTGGCACTCTGGGTGGCAGCTCTGGTCACGTCCACGCTGATCCCCATCGAGCAGAAGCCGTGGCTGTCGGGCGGACTGACATGCACCAGCGCAACATCGAGGGGCAGCACACGGCGACGAAACAGCAAGGGAATCTCGCTGAGAAAGATCGGGGTGTAATCACCTCGGCCCTCCGCGATGGCTGTGCGGGCATTGCCTCCAGTAAACATGGAGTTATCCCGGAAAATACCTAGGGACAAATTATTGAACGCTGGTGCATTAAAAAACATTCTCAAATTATAGACCTACATATTTGTGGTTGAACATGTATAAAATATGGATTACGATGTACATGCACATTATACATGTAGATCTAGGACCAAGCAAAATGCACAGAGTTCCTCATTTCTGACCACTTCTCCCCACGACCGATTTTTTTTCCCTCTCACTTGAAATGTATTTTGAATTTTTATTTAACAAAATACGTAGCTATAAATGCAAATTTAAACTGTACAGAATGGAAGATTATGACTTAGAACAAAACATCACTCAGACACAATGTAAATTTAAAGTGAAAGATATTACCATCTTCTCCAATAGAAAGTAATTTATTTTCCAGGCTCCAAACTCATCACCAACGCAATAAGCTTTTTGTGAGTTAACTTGGACCCAAATCTGGTTCACTGAGTTCTTTAAATTCACGTGAACATAACGACTTGAATTCTCCATACTACAACCACTGTTGCTATACCTCGTGATTTGGGGCAAGCTTTTACTTAGTTACAAAAGAGATGCCTTGCAACAATGCACTGTTCTCAATGGATAAGAAGGGCACAAAGGAACTAGTCCATTCCAGAGATGGTGATCGCTATGTAAAAGCTTGCCCCGAATCATGAGGCATAGCAACAGTGTTTTTAGTCTGGGGAATTCAAATTATGTTTATGCGCAATCAGATAACTCAGTGCACCAGATTTTATTCAAATTTAACTGGCAAATGGCTTATTACATCCGTACTTTCAGTCTTGTAAGAAACACCCGTTTTCTATCCACTGAAGGGTCAAACTTTGAAAGGCCCTTGTTGTTAAATGGTAAATATCCACAAACTTTGGCTGAATTTATGAGCGATTGGCATGGAAAAACACTTGTATTTAGCACTGCATTGAAAAAATAAGTGAATACAAAATGAGCATTTAGCCCAAGTATGGCCATCTTTTGAAAAAAAAAATTGCCTGGTGGAACCCCGAACTGAACATACCCTCATACTTTGGTTCCATCTGCTCTCCGGGCCCTTCGGTGTGTATATGCACCAATTCCACATTCTTCAAGCCGGTTCTCAGCCCGTGCCTACACAGAGCGCTTAACAACACCAGGGGTGTAGCACCCCCACCCTGCACGAACACACGGTCACCTGGAATGGCGAGATGGAAAGATTGTGCATTTGAAAAAAAAACCAGTGATCATTCCACGCTGGAGTTTCTCACTTATCGGCAGGTGATCCTTTGTTCAGATTTCACACCACTAAAGACCATGTAACGTCTGTGACCATATGGACATCGAGCTGGACCAAGAGAGGGCACTATTTCTTAGCAGCGGAGGGCTCCACTGGCACCGAACTGCATTTTGTTGGTTCATGAACTATAAAATGCACTTGTTAGGGTCGCATCACGACCAACAACATGAAAGCTCCTGAGCAATGCAGCTCTTTTCATATGATGATGGGGTACTTCTGCTCGAGGTTTTAAGTCGCCAGGTATTTCACCTATATGTATTACGCCCCTTTTCAAGTCTCATTGGTTTTCAAAATAAGTGGAGAAATACATGTAAGGGACTTCCAGCAGTCATAGACGTTAGAGCTACATTCAAAAATCCAAAATTGGAGGTGGTCCCTCGGCATGCTCAGTATATCCACGTACATGTATATAAAACTCAAAATGAAAAATTGGAAAGACTGACATGACTGAAACGTCCTCACTCCTTTTTGTTGGTTGTGTACAAATGTATGGAGACTTCAGTGTATTTTCAAAGTATTCCCTGCTTTCTAAACGTAGGCCACGTGTTCTATTTTCTACCAAAATTACAGACAGACAGTCAGTTAGTTAGTTAGTGAGTCGGTCAGTCAGTCAATAATTAACCATGTTAAGATATGTAATAAACGGACTGAGCGATAAGATACTACATGTACCAATGGACTCTTCCAAAACTTTGGCAGCAGTTTAGATGTCTTGATATGGAACAGCCGTTGAGACGATGAGGGGTCAAGTGACGTAATGCTCGACGACTTTATTTTAAAGATGGCGACTGTGAGAGTGGATCCGTTAGATTGAATGGATAAGGAAAAAAGACTGGAAAATACCTGAATAACGTGAAAATGGAAAATGGAAAGGTCAAGAATCATGTTCGTGTGCAAAAGAAATTGCGCCCACGATTATAAGTGGGTGCGCCAAAAATGTTCAGTACGCCGACACGATATTGCGTATACGGATGTGTGGCTAAGGATGGATCGGGAGTGAGAGTCCGTGCCACACTAGTGGTAGGGGCTAGAAACACCTAAACAAATAACACAAAAAGAGCATTATTTTAATTTTATCATTCAATGATTCTTTTTGTTGTTGGCTGTCATGGCTTGTTTTTACCCGACTTCACGATCTCAACAGCCTCATCTGGCGAAGTCCAGGTGGGTTCACGGCCGAAGGCAGGGTTGAACGGCTCTCTGGGAATGTCGAATGGTTTGTGGTCAAGGGGGGCATTGTGGTCTGATGAACACCGCACACACTGAGCACAAACGCCCAGTTGCTTCGACAGCTGCACCTGCAGTAGGCTTACTCTTCCCAGCGAGCGAGAAATCGCTGTCAACATTTTCCTCCAAACATACCAAACCCAAACAATTGCAGTGTAACACCGGTCAGTCCTACTCAGCACGCATAAGGCATGTAATGACAATGGCTGACCTCCGCAAAAAGAATTACAAGGAATCCCGGCAGGTGACCTCTCCTCGGGTCAACCAACCAATGCGGTTATGGCATGTACATGTACATGTACGTATGTGGCGTGTCCGCAGTAGTTGTGAATGTACACGTACTCCATGTGCAGATGGAAATTTGCTAAACAGAAAATATTTTAATTGCCAAATTGAGGGCAGGATACCAGCCACATAGTCGTGCAATCTATATAGACGCGACTGGTTCACCGTTCAGCTTTGCTAAGCGTATGTGGTGAGCAATTATATTTCCTGCTCACGTGCATACATCTATCTAAAAAACGTTAAGTTTGCTTAAAAGTTGTTGAACTTGAGCTGTAAATCACTCGACTGTATTCCGAGAAAAAGGCATTTATAATAGCTGTGGATGTCGTTATTTTTGATATTTAGTATGTCATGACGATAGGGGATCCTCGTGGCACTATACAACCAGGAATCGCCGTCAGTCTGAAAACAACCGTGACGGGGGCGTTTAAGGGGCGTGGCGAGTATAACGCTGCGCGTGCTCAGTGGCGTTTATGTTGCATCCTGGGGTCATGCAACTGTGCATGGGGGTCACAAAGTTTTATTCGGGGGGGGGCAGTCAAACATTACTGGTTAACTGATAGATCGCAAAGGTTTGAACTTAAGGAAAGAAGTCTGAGGTATTTAAAACAATATGTTTCGATTGTTTTTTCTGAGGAATCAAGAGGGGCCCCGCCGGACCGTTGCCCCCTTCTCTCTTCGTGACGCCTATGCCTGCAAACTTTTATGCCTTTTCCCCAACACACGTCATTTTATTATTTTACCTCTAATAGTTAGTAACAAATGACCTTTCCCATAATTGTACAATATTAATTCACCTTCCCCCATTCATGGGCGGTGTCAACTGGAGTGAAAATGAATATGTATGTTGTCACAAGATGTATTTGGCTCCCGGCTGGATAAGTGTTGTTAGGTGCTGGCCAATCGCGAATCGTCCACAAGCTAGCGACATTGAATCGCCAATTCGAATTAGCTTTTTAAACATCATTATACGATTCGGTGAAACCTTTCTACTAAAACAGCGTCTGAGTGCTTTTGAAGCGCAGTTGAACTGCATGCAGCGGTCGCCCATACAGCGACAGACATTATAGAGAAAGACATTGTACATGTACATGTATATCTGCCAGGAAGCACACTCACATCACACCGTGACATTAGCGCACTTGCGAGCAAAGATTGTATAGCTTTGCTTGCAAGAGCATTTGGCAAACTTCACAAAACACATTGGCATGGTCGAAGAGACGTGCACATGTATAACGCGAGCGTGTCACCTGTCCACGAGCTTTACTGCAGTACTACTGCACGCCATGACGGTGAGGGAATTTCCTCCATGTGCATGCAGACTATGATTAACTAATTGCCACGGCTCGTCATTCGCCATAATTGTAAGCCACTCTGAGAGCGACTCCTGTGTGGTGAGCAACCGTTTTACTTAGCTTTCAAGTTCAACCTGAAACGCTGCCTGTGCACACTCATTGTAGTGACGCTTTTACGATTTGCGCCGCTGAGAAAAGCGGGTTGTAGTTAACTATTCATAACCCTGTACGTCAAATATGCATATTCATTATCGCTTTCACTAGTTGCGCTCCAAATGTGTACATAATAATGTACGTCACGCGGCCAGCCAGACTGTGAATCGACTGGCGGCAACCGGCAACATTACATGTACCATCGTGCGGTTTTCTTTAGAATTGTGGGTCTAGACTAGCAATTCACATTTTACAGTAGTGAAACAGCAAACAGATAAATCAGGTGAGTATTCTATCTTTATTCCCGTGCCGTTTGTGTCAGACCATGGGGGAATAAAACAATTCGCTCAAAGAGGTTTTCTTCCGGCCACATTTAGCTCAGTGACTTAAGCCTGGTGACCAATCATACTTTAAAGGCTCTACCTTACACGTACTGTGTAGTCGGGGTGCCTGTCGGGGCAGGAGCGACCGTAAATCAACCTGAGGCAGTGTACATCATACATGTACATGTACAAGTAGGCCCTATAAATATACGGTTGTTATTGGGATAAGCTATCGCTAGCCCAGGTAGACCCCCTGACCGTACTACGTTACGAGGAAGACTGGCGTCCAACCTGGGCTAAGGATACTAAAGCCAAAATGTTACCGCAAAACACATTGAAACTCAATATCATGCTTATTAATCAACTTGGAGTCTTGGATGAAGGGGCCGTGCTGGATATCACTTGACTGTTGACACCCCCATAAACCCAGTAACGAGACTGGTCTGAAAAATTCTAGGCTTGGGCTTTTTAGGACATGTTGGTTGTCACTAGTCTAACCAGTCATTGCCTTTTTCTAGACAATGATGGCTGGTACATTATCTGGTTTGTCAAGAGACAGCTGCATCTTGGCATCTTGGGATTTGGAAGCCATTTCTCAAAAAGCATGCATCTTTTGAATGTCATCACGAGTTCCATTATCAGATGGCGTTAGGCCTAAAATGTCCGCATTAATTATTAACCACTTCATGCCGGGGCATTTTTCAATGTTGATGATGCTGGGCCGGCATAATTGTCATTTTTTTCCATTTTCAAAATTCTTCAAAAATTCATCATTTCATTTGACAGACTTTTATAACCGCAGGAAGTAATCTTTAGGCACTACTTTAAGTTGACTGGTGACCTTCATTGACACCCGAGTATTTCAGCCAGGCCTGCAGCCTTGTAAAAAGAGCCCAGATTGTGTGGTGTTATGTAACTTGCTTTTGTTTGCGAACCTGGCTCAGTGCACTGCTGACCGCTTTTCAATAGGGGCCAGATTAGCATGCAGCAGTGCTGTGTGGCTCATCGCTGCAGTGGTGGAGTGTTTTTTGTCCCTGGTGGTAATCCGCTTGCTCTAAATGCCCCAAACTGTGGTATATGGTATACGGTTTCAAAACAAGGTAGGATTATCACCACTTTTGAGAGTGAAAAATGTCGACAATACTCAGCAGCCTGGTCTTTTGTTCGGAGTATGGTCTTTTGTTACAGGGCCCTGTTTCCTTTGTCTGAGTTCGGAGACCCCGGCCACGCATATAAAGCATACGTCTCCGATTCCGGAGTCCTCGGCAGGAAGTGGTTAAAACACTAATCTTAAAATAAAATACTGTATTCCTGTACATGCTGTTTTATAAAAAACCAAGGTCCTGTGGTTGACACCATGCAGTAGTAAATTGATCAAAAAGGAAAAGGAAAATTCTTTCGAAAGTAAACTTGTGATCTGATTGAGAAAATAAAGAAAACGATGAAGGAAAAAACAAGGGAAAAAATTCCGACGGGAGTTGGGATCGAACTTAGCATGTGCACATCACACAGTGGTCTACGCACTAACTGTGCTGTTTCAGCTCCACAGTGGCATCAGGAAATTACAACTTTATATAGATTACCAATGATAATTATGCACGACCGTAACTATAGAATTTCAAAGTCGCATTGTGGTACCGTAAAAATAACCACTTCGTTTTATTGTTTATCTTTAATATTTTTTTCCAAATAAGAGCAGTCCCCATGATTGTCTACATGTTGGTTGGGTAGACATAACTATTTGTCAGTTAATCCTTTGTTTGATTTTCGGTCTTCTCAGGTTATGAACGGAAACGCAGATCACACCAACGATGACCTCGCTTCATCAGCTGCTGAGAAGATTGCCATATTGGACGCCGGAGCGCAGTATGGAAAGGCAAGTATCCAATCCTCCGTTAAGTTGATTTCAGTCAAGTAAGCCTTCAAGAAAGCCTGTTATAGGGTCACTTGATCAATCAGTCAATGCATTGGTTAGTTAGCTACAGTTTTCCAGTTAAGTAATTGAAATCTCGCCTTGTGAAAATAAAAATTTCCTTTCAGATGGAAGAAAATGGCCAACCTCAAACATCTCTAACTTCAAAGTTATGGGAAGAGTTCCACCTTCGGACGCCAGTGATTATTCCATACTGTGGCCTGTTAGCCATCAGAAAGCAAAAACATGTCCAGAAAAGTTCAATTTAGGGGGGAGAACCCAAGTCATTTACTTAGAGAACACTTGGAACTTTTCAGATCAGTCTCATAGGGTTTCGTGCTGTGGGTGTGAAGCAGTGTCCGTATGTGGAACTCTTCTCTAAGGTACATGTATTTGCAATAAGCCACTAGCGAGTTAAATTTGAATAAAATCTGGTATCCTATGTTATCTGATTGCATAGAAACATAACAGTTTGAATTCCCCAGACTTAAGACACTGTTGCTATACCTCGTGATTCGGGGCAAGCTTTTGCATAGCGACCACCTTCTCTGGAATGGACTGGTTCCTTTGTGCCCTTCTTATCCATTGGTAACAGTGTATTGGTGCAAGGCGTCTCTTATGTAACTAAGCAAAAGCTTGCCCCGAATCACGAGGTATAGCAACAGTGGCTTTAGTATGGAGAAGTCCAACTGTTATGTTCACATGAATTTGAAGAACTAAGTGTACCAGATTTTATTCAAATTTAACTCGCAAAAGGCTTATTGAGAATATCAAGCAAGGGAAAAAAAGGGTAATTTGGAGGAAATGCACATATCACAACAGAACAGTCTTGCTTCTCTGACTTGCATTTCCTGTGTTTACAGAGTAACTAATAGATCACAGCACGTGAACTGCGTCGGGATCAACTGGTCAATCATTCTTTTGTTCTAATCGCAGGTGATTGACCGCAAGGTGAGGGAGTTGTCGGTCGACACCGACATTCTACCTCTGGACACGCCAGCCTATATTCTCAAAGAAAAGGGCTATAGGTAAGGCCAGGCGGTGCTTGTCACCTTATCTCATACATATTCATGATTGAGAGGCACATTCTGATTGGTCTGATCACTATCAGGTGACAGTTGCTAAATTTATTTTTCAAGCGAAATATGCATGTATTGTGAGCTGTCACATGGCTTGCGTGTACACGGGCGACAGTTCATGTCGAGTGCTGTTCAGTTTAAACAGTGTCTCTGTTCAAACTGGGAACCCAAAATTCTTTCTCTGTAAATATTTGAGAAAGCGTCGCTGACTGGCTGATTGCCATGCACTCACACAGCGATGAACCAACAAAGAACAGGAAATTTAAAACAGGAAAACTTAAAAAAAAAAATTCCAGTTTATTGTGCACAAATCAATGCAAACGTTGAGGTTTTCTTCCTGGAAATGACATCACAGATTTGCTCATGAATATTGAAATTTATCAACATAAATAATTAACAAAATCAGAAGTACTTCAAATTTCTTTGAATAACAAGACGAAAATTGAAAATATGTAGACCCTGTAATGTTCATGTGAGGACTCGAGTGCATTTATTCCTGCTTACAGAGGTATCATAATCTCCGGCGGACCTAACAGCGTCTATGCCGCCGATGCACCCATCTATGATTCAGCCATCTTCCACTGCGGTCTTCCAGTACTTGGTATATGCTACGGCATGCAGGTAAGATGTGGAGCATTTGTTAAAGAATTCACGCTGTGGATTTCACAGGTTTAGGGAACTCGTTTGTTCAACTTTCTCTTTGCTTTTAATGTGAGAACGCAATCTGGCTTGTGTTTGGTTTTCTTTCATTGAAAAGTGCGGTTTACTTTAAAATATTCAAAATCTTCTGTGCCTTTCCTGCCAAATGAGGACGATGTTGCTGTGATGTCATTACGGGAGGGCACTGTTTATTTGGGGCGGCTTTCCTTGCAAATTGGAATCCCAAAATTGGCTCATTAAATTGTTTGCGAGAGAACTTTGCTCACGTGCCTGCAGTCGTGGACTGAAACAGTGAACCACCGAAGTGAATAAAGTTTACGGCAGCAAAATGTCGAAAATTGTGGCAAATTTTAGTACTGAAGTTTCTTCCTCAGATGACTTTAAACTGTTGCTTAAACACATATGCAAATGTGCATTTGCATAGAAATAAAAAAACCATCGAAAACCTTTACAATATCACAACAAAAATTGAAAATCTGGGTCAATGGGACACATACAATGTACAATGCCGGAGCATATATCAACACCGTTTTAAAATATTTACAGATGATGAACAAAGAGTTTGGCGGTAGCGTGCAGAAGAAGTCTGTCCGAGAAGACGGGCAGTTTACCATCACTGCCAACACGGATGTTACATTATTCAGGTATGACAGACAAGCAGGCAACATACAGCAGTGCTTTCTTCCGAGGGAGTAAAACTTCATGCACAACTTGCACATTTCTGTTTTTGGCAGATCAGAGTCGCATCTCATTTTCCCAAAATCTCAACGTAGCTTCAAGGTAGCAAGTTTTTATGGGGTACACAAAATCCAGTAGGGAGGACACGAATTCAGCTCTATTCCAAATTTGAAAAGGTTCGTGTTCAGAGAATGAGTTTGTAACTCAGTTGACCATTTGGCGCCGGTTGCAGTTATCAATGTTGATGATGCTGGGGCGGGATAATTATCATTTTTTTTCTGTTTTCAAAATTCTTTAAAAATTCCTGTCTTCATTTACTGGACACTTACACCCACACGAAGGACTGTCTGGTTCTACTCTAGCCTGACAGACAAAATCTATTGACACCCGAGTATTTCAGCCAGGCCTGCAGCCTTGTAAAAAGAACCCAGATTTTGCGGTGCTAACTTTCTTTTGTTCATGAACCTGGCACAGTGCACTGCTGACCTCTTTTCAATAGAGGCCAGATTAGCGTGTAGCGGTACTGTGTGGCTCATCGCTGCGATGGTGGGGCGCTTTTGTCCCCGGTGGTAATCCGCTCACTCTAAATGCCCCAAACAGTGGTATACTGTTTCAAAACAAGGCAGGATTATCTCGAATTTTGAGAGTGAAAAAATGTTGGTAATGCCCAGCAGCCTGGTCTTTTGTTCAGAGTACGGTCTTTTGTTACAAGGCCCAGTTCCCTTTGTCCGGGTTCGGAGACCCCGGCCACGCATATAAAGCATACGTGTCCGGTACCGGAATCCCCGGCAGGAAGTGGCTAGTCTGTAATCAATGGCCAAAATGTATATACAGCGTATAAAGAACGTACATGTAAATGTATATTAGTATTATTGGGTCATTCTATAGATTAGGGGACCAGGTTTTTTCGTGTCCCTGTCACATCTGACATATGATTTTGCTATTCGGAACATATGCCCTAATTTCTGAGAGTGATGAATTTATAGAATGACCCTATTATAAATCAATAGCCCATTATGGGTAATTCCAGAAATCAGGGGTCCAAAAGGGTGACATTTTTGTGTCCCTGTTACATCTGACCTTTGTTATTTGACATGGAAATGTCACCAGAATTGATTTCGACTATTACAACTTGTTTGGCAGGTAATTTGCATTAATTCATCACTCTTGGAAATTAGAAAATGTGTCCTGAACTTACAAAGTCATATATCAGAAGTAACAGGGACACGAAAAAAAAATGGACCCCGAATTTCTGGAATACGGGCAATTCATAATAGTGCGCCTCCAAGAGTTTGCAATGCGTTGGTCAATCACAACGCTCGAAATTTGTCAACCCTTTTCAAACACGCATTGGGTCGACAAATTTTACGCACTGTGGTTGGCCAAAGTGTTGCAAACTCTTAGAGGTACACTATCGTGAAACACCCATATATAAATATAATAATATAAATACCCATATAAATAGCCTGTGTGTGCCTGTGATTGAACAGTGACGTATCTTTGATTTTCCGTTGGTCAGGGGTCTGGCAAAAGAACAGACAGTACTACTGACTCACGGAGATAGTTTGAACAAAGTGGCGGATGGTTTCATGGTGGCAGCTTCGTCGGGAAAGATCATTGCAGGTACGCTGTGATTAAGCACTGTGGTTGTAAGCACTATTCTAGTGTTGTGCTAAATCCACGAACAATATTTCCAATAAGTCCGCATTTAAAGAGTGCTGAATTCACACGGCACTTGCTCATCCAATACTGCACCACCTCACACAGTACAAGCCATGTGCTTGTCAATCTCCATATAAGCAGATTGCTTACAAGTACTCCCGAGAGGTACATTCCATAACCTAAGTAGAAATTGTCCCTGAAAAGTTATCCGCTCCGAGCAGAACAAAAGAGGGTGTTTTTTTTTTTTTTGGTAGTCACCGCATAGGCGCATCTGGAGGCGCGCAAGTATATGCGGGTTTGACGCGGAGCACGCAGAGTACGCGGAACTAATTTATTCTGGCATGTATGGTCTTTGCGTACACGCAGAGTGTGTGCAAGAACCCGCTTGTAACCACCTGTCTTTCTTTTCGCCGATTGGGGGTGCACTTCCGCTCGGGGCGGATGATGTGTTTGACTTGTTTTGGCCTTCCGACTTCGACTGGCTGTTTATTCGGCTGTTCGTTGAAGACCGGCCAGGTGCCTATCTTTCACTTATTATAATGGGTTTGGGAAAGCAGGAAAGCACGTCAACTGTTCTCCTGAACCAATTGATGGAAAAACTTTTGAAGCTGTTACCGCGGCGACACCATGCTTGCCATTTGCCCAGCTGGTCTGTGCGCAGTGAACACCATTTCAACAAATAAGGTTTTGTAATATACCAAAAGGCATGCAGACTTCGGGTTTAAGAATGCTTGTGCCATCACGGTGCCAATGCAACATACTCAGATTCATCTTCAGAAGTTATGCAAGTAGCCATCTTCCTGGTCAGTGCTCTTGTTATGGGGGATATGCACAAAAGGTCTACTCTTGCGTAGCGCTGTGGAACAAGACCAGGAAGATGGCCGCTGTGCTATATCCTCTATAGATGACGGTGCTTTCAAGAAAAAAAACTGAGATTTTTCCAAGATGTTAAAAATGCAAATCACACTCGAACATAATTTGCATTTCCTGTTCAGTTTGTGGAGGAGTGATCCAAGGACGATTGGGTTCTGTTTCTTCCTTCGCTTACATTTACACAGCTATTGCAAACGAGGACAAAAGACTCTACGGCGTGCAGTTTCACCCAGAAGTGGACCTGACCGAGCACGGCAAGGACATGTTGCATAACTTCCTGTATCGCGTGGCCAGCCTGACAGGGACGTACACCATAAGCAACCGACAGGAGGCCTGCATCAAAGAGATTCAAGAGAAAGTTGGCTCCAGTAAAGTTCTGGTAAAGTTCAGTTTGTCGAGCTAAATTGTTGACAGCAAATTTGGGTTGACCTGGGGTTGACCTTGAGCGAGTGTTCGCGACCGCAACCAGAATCTCCCGTCTGTTTTCAGGCTTTTGCAACTTCAGTTACACCTGTGTGACATTATTCTCCCGATCAAACGAGAACCGTGGGGCAGAATTGGTTCACAGCCAGTTCAGAAGTGTGGAAAAGGTCTGAAAATTCCCAGTGTTTCGTAACCCGTGTAGGATTTTTAGTCTGCAAAACGCCCAATTGCAGTGCAAACGTTTTGCATTCATTCAAAAGTTATGAAGTATACCAGGCAAGATATGGGACGGAGGGGTACCCCCCTTACCTGTCCAATCCCTATACACACTCTAGACTATTGTTACCTAACACATCCCCCCTAGAAGTCTGTGAAGAATTCCTGAGATTCCGATCAAGCAATGACCAACACAAAGGCGGGGGGGGTTCTCTCCGTCCCATATCTTGCTTCAAAAGTTATGAAACCCTGCTCCCTGTATGAAGGATCCAGTCTTAACTCTGTAATCCCTTTTGGCCCGATGTTTTGGTTCGTTGGATTCCATATAGCCTCAACTGTTCTTGTTTATACCTTTGGAATTCTAGGTCTTGGTTAGTGGGGGCGTGGATTCTACAGTCTGTGCTGCATTACTGTCAAAGGTGAATGAATGTCTCTATGATGCAGAAATAATCATAAAAACAATTTTAAAAATTACTGAATTGATGAATTCTGACAGGCAACGTTGAGTTTTAAAAAAATTATATTTTCATGAAGAAGTTTCAGTGTTGTACTTGAATACATTTTTAAGCACTAGTACTCCTACTCATGAAAATGTACTCATACTCGCATGAAAAAATTCTATGTAGTCACACTCATGGGTAAGTACTCAAACCCATGGGTATGTACTCATTCATACTACTCAAGCACTCGTGAGGTACTCATGCTTGTGAAGAACTCATACTCGTGAGGAAGCACTCGTACTCACACTCATTAAAACACTTCACTACAACGCTGTCAGTACTGATGATTTGACCAGACTCATTGTGTTTATGTCTAGGCACTCAATGAGGATCAGGTGCTAGCTGTACACATCGATAACGGGTTCATGCGTAAACAGGAGAGCCAGTGTGTACAGGAGTCATTGGAAAGGATTGGCCTTCACCTAAAAGGTATGCATGTTGCCCAATACGCCAGATCTTTTTAATCGTGTTAGTCATATCACTCAAAATGGTTAGTTAGGTATGGAGTGGTTTAAGATCCAGTGCTTCATTTCCGGTCGGCGGTTATTCTTGAATATAAAATCTGGCTATGTATTTATGTGTTTGTATTTTCTTGGATGTGTTTTGGTGATTTTTCATTGTCACTGGAGCAGGTTTTAAATAAACTAGTAGTGTGTGCATTTTTTAACATTTATAAAAACTTGTTTACTCAGTGATGCACAAGATCTGGGGAGAAAAACCACAAGCATACATAGGTGGGACTCGAACCCAAGACCTCCTGCTTACTCATCCTACCACTCGACCGCCGAGCTTGCCGGGGTGGGCTTGCTGGTTGGAGTAAAATGAGCAGTGGATACCAATCCAAACATTTCCATGCGATGAAATTCTCACACCAGAGTTAACATCCCTGTGATGCAAAACTGAAATTCCATTAAAGAGATTTTAAAAGATGTTTTAAGAAGTGGACCAAAGAAATGTACAGATGGTGCGTCACTGATTTTTGTTTGTCATTTGTGTGTCTGCCTTTTTTTGGGTGATGGCTTGGTGTTTGTCACAGCTGTTCCACCTGCAAGCCCTGGCTTGTGTTTAACGCTTCTGTTTGTGTTACCCTCTTTAATTTCCCTATTAACCTCAATTAATCAGCTTCAATGTATTGTTTTGTGATACTTACCGGCATTGTTTGCTTAAATTTCTTTGTGTTGGACTTCATAATGTTCCACTTTGTACTGGTTTTGTGGAGAGTTCAAAATAAATGTCTGTTTGATTGAGTTGAATTTAACTACTCACGGGTTCTCAATTTGAGTATTTACACCGCTTCGTTTGCATTTTTGTCCTATAGTCGTGAATGCTTCGCAGTCTTTCTATTGTGGGACAACGACTGTGCAGTCCAAGAGGAACGACCCCAAGTCACCGAAGAGACAGACCAAGATGTTGAACACCACTGTGCAACCTGAAGACAAGCGCAAGATCATCGGCGACACATTCATGAGGGTCGCCGAAGAAGTCTGCGTGGAGTTAAACCTGAAACCAGAGGACACGATTCTAGCTCAGGGTGAGGCAACGAGTGTATCATCCAGAAAAATGGGGTTTTAAACCGTTGTGCCCCCTGGGAGTGATTTGAGATTGGCTCATGTTGAGGTTAAACACTGAAATTTCACAATTGCTCAAGTCTCATCCCTGTATTAAGCAGTCACAGTAATTAGGCAGTTCTGGTCATCGTTCAAGGATGGTCGTTGGCATGGTAACGGGGTCACTCACTCCTCCAATGAGGGCAATCAGTACATTAAGCTTTCAGGAGTATTTCCATATTTGGGCAGGCCATTGTGCCACACGCCTAGCGCTTTCTGATATGCGGTTCTGGTCCTGTTTCATTTTGGCAGCAAACTGAACCGCAATCGACTTTCATTTGTCAAAATGTCCGTCAAAACAATCAGTCGTGGTTGACCAGAACTAAACAAATATTAGGCTTTAACATTTTCACCTCCAAGTGCTTGAGCCAGGGTGCCTGCAGGTCCTTCTCAAGGCTTAGGTCTCAGATGTAACTTTCTGAAACGTGCTGAGACACTTTTGTTCAACATTAATTGCCAATCTGGTTGCTGTCGTCGAGGAAAGTGAAATGACCCAGGTCAATGTGACAAAATACCTCAGTGGGTATTCAAGGACAAATCTGTCTTTCTTCGATGTGAACAAGTTATCAAAGGAATTCACATGTTTTGGAAGTTCAGCAAATCTGCATTTTCTCAAAACCGTAAGATTTGATTGGTCGTTTCCCAGGAACACTGCGACCGGATCTTATCGAAAGTGCCTCTCACCTCGCGAGCAACAAAGCCGACGCGATCAAGACCCACCACAACGACACGGAGCTCGTGCGCCAACTTCGGCGGGACGGCCGAGTGGTGGAACCGCTCAAAGACTTCCACAAGGACGAGGTGCGCGCGCTGGGCAGGGAGCTGGGGCTCCCTCTAGAGATCGTCCAGCGCCATCCCTTCCCAGGTATACATATACTACTTGAAACAAAGCAGTTACGTACAAACGTTACGCACCTCGTTAATCTTCAACCAGCTCATCGATGCTCATGCGACAAGGTTTTTACAACAAACATAAAGTTTTTGGGGGGCAGGTATGAAAAACTTGTTTGGCTGTGAGAGAACTTTTAGATGTTTTGCCTGTTCCGATGAAGGATAAAAACTTTTCCAAAATGGACGGCTGAGCTAATTTAAGAGCTGTTGAATGACTGTTCTGATTTTGCAAAGGAACAGCCATCAGAAAAGCTGCGATTGCCCCTGTCCAAGATGTTAAATGTAATTATAAGGTTACTCTTTTAAGCAGCTTTTCATGAAATCAAGTATTTAAGTATTTCACTGCTCTGCCACATATTTTGGGTTTAAGGTGCATGCTGATAAGATACGGCAAGTTTCTTTCTTAAAAAATGTTGGTTGTGTTTTTTTTATGCACGTGCAGGACCAGGATTGGCAATCCGAGTCATCTGCGCCGAGGAAGCTTTTATGGGCAAGGACTTCTTAGAGACAAATTCCATCCTGCAGATTCTGGTAAACTACAACACCGCAGTCAAAAAGGTTGGCCAAATTTTGAAATGTTTTGTTCTCTTGCCTGCACAGATTAAAAATATCTTGTGGGATTTTCTCGGAGATGTTTTAATTTCGGGTGAGACGGATCCCTGAAAGTTGACTCCACATTGAACAACTTTGCTGCGTACTGCTTTAATAACCATATGCTGCCGGGGAGCCTGGTTTCGGGCACATAGGCTTTATATATGAAACCGGGGAGCCCGAAACCAGACAAAAGAGCTGGGTCTTATAACAAAAGACCATACTCGGAACAAAAGACCGAGCTGCTGGAAATTGCTAACTTTTTTTCAGTTGTCGATAGCGGAGGAAATCCGTCATTATTTTGAAAGATGATACCACTGTTTGTGGCATTCAACGCGAGTGGATTACCACCGGGGACAAAAGCGCTCCAACGCTCCAGTGATGAGCAATACAATACCGCTGCATGCTAATCTGGCCCCTGTTGAAAAGACGCCAGCCGTGCACTGTGCCAATTTCTGGAACAAAAGAAACTTAAGTAACACCGCACAATCTGGGCTCTTTTACAAGGTGGCAGGCCTGGCTGAAATACTCAGGCGTCAATAGATGTTGTCTGTCAGATTAGAGTAGCCACCAGACAGTCATTCGTGTGGGTGTAAACGTCCAGTAAATGAAGTTATGATTTTTTGAAGAATTTTGAAAACGGAAAATCTTGAAAATCTCCCAGTTTTATGTCATGCAACTTCAAATTACACAACCGGCAGCAAGTGGTTAATTTCCACTGTCAGAGACAGAAAGATGAATATTGTAATTTACAAATCTCACATTTCTTTCTGTGAAACTTTTTTCTCGTTACCTGTTCCTTTTAACTGCCCCGTTATAATCAAGTGTCTGACATTAACAGTATCTTTTTGTTCAGGGGAACTAGCGTAATTAACATGTGCACGCAGCTTGCAGGATAAACTTTTTGCAACGCACCTGAAGTCCGAAAATAGATAGTTGCGCAGCTTTGAAGTTCGGAACATTTTCAGAAAGTACATACTTGAGTTTTTGTTTCATGCTGTACGGTTTACACCTAGCCCCACGCGTTGATGGGTCGCGTCACATCATCCATGACAGAAGAAGAGCAAACGCTGCTGACCTCAGTCACTTCAGCCGATCAGTACTTTGCCACCTTGCTACCCATCAAGTCGGTCGGCGTCCAGGTATGTATGGCCACAGTAGCAAGTGTGGCGCATCTGTGGCCGTGCATCTCCTTAAGAAGTCATCCACTTTTAAGGAATCCAGTTTGAAAAAGTTGGCTGTTTTGAAAACGTTTGCCCCCATCTGCTGTTCCAGTTCAGAAATCGATAGGATAACGAACGTTCCCAGATGTGGGTTTGCTGCTTATTTGTTAGCTTTGGTTTATGAGATAGTCTTAGATCCTATATACGTCACAGAAAACTCTCTCTCTTGAAGAACGCTGAAAAATTGAAATTTCCGGTTTATTTGCTGACGTGTAACAGTGTTTTTCCGTTTGTGATTTCTTCAGCCAAACCTATGAAAAATAGACGTGAATAAAACAACATATCCTAGAAATATCAGATTGTCTCTTCCATTGCTTCGGTATCTTCACACATTCACATGTTCAATCTTTGTGTGTGTTGTTACTTACACAGGGCGATGGCCGGACGTACAGCTATGTTGCAGGGATCAGCTGCCATTCTGATCCGGACTGGGAGAAGCTGTTAGTGCTTGCCAAGATGATCCCTAAACTGTGTCACAATATCAACAGGTGAGAACTCAGTCATGTGACATGATAAACTTTTTTTTTTTTGCCTGAGGACAGTTTGGTCAAGTGTACAGTTCTACACAAGATTATTAAAAGCAACATTAATTTAAAAAACAGCTTAGGTCGTTAAGATTATTCACTTCACTTTTCTGATGTAATAGCGTTATTTTTTTTGTTACCATTTTGGACTCGGTTGTATTAGTTGATTTATTTGTCGGTTTTGATTAATATCTGAGTGATTTCAGTTCACCTCTGAGAGTTTAAAGCTACCTGGGAAGTCTGTCAGATGCCAGAATATTTTTCAGGAGTTACGTATTTTTACGGAATAAGTAGTATTTTACCAGGACAGTGGAAGGCACCTTGCAGTTGACCTGATAACCATTTAAAAAAACCCTTCTGTGGGGATCAGGTGGTACATTGAAAAGAACCAGATGTTATACTTGTTAACCGCAAGTTTCCAAAGGAGCGATTATCATGCAGTCACTTTTTGCTCTCCTGCATACACACCGTGCAAAGGTTTCAATTCTGTCGTAGTTGTGCAGTTCACATGAATTTTCTTTCCCCAAATTGTTCCAAGGGTCGTTTACATATTCGGCGATCCTGTGAAGGAGACCATTACCGATATCACCCCTACCTTCCTCACGCCGGGTGTTCTGGGCACGCTCAGACAGGCCGACCACCTTGCACAGTCGGAGCTCATGCGAAGCGGTAAATCTTGTGCTCATTCATACCTGCAATTTGTTGGTTTAAAGTGATCCCCCCCCCTCTGTTTTGCAAGGACATGTTCCGAATGTCAATCCTGGTTTGTTTTTTTCATTTGTGAAATATTTTTCATTCAACCGAATGAAATTAGTCACTTTCTTGAAACAGCGTGTTTCATAGGAATCATAGGATTTCATAGGATTTCATAGGATTTCAGTGGGAGTGATTGCACGATTCTGCAGTCAAAGATTCAGTCCAATTTTTGTCTTCCCTTCGAACGTGCATGTACCAGCAGACGTCAAAACAAGTGTCGAAATGTAAAGTAGATTTAAAAGCTGGTTTTGAAACGTTCTGGAGATTAATTGTGCTCCACCATCTGCTTTGTTCCATGCTTAATGAGGCATAATAACTACAGTCAGATTATTAAAGTTTTGAAGTCGAATGTAGACAACACCTGTACGGAATTTTTATTTAGAAAATTGTCTGGTTGATATTGCCTTCTTGTCACTCTCCACAACAGCTGCTTATAACGTGAAATTGACACGGTAATTAAAAAACTAGAACAATAATTTGCACTGCCAAGCCCAACCTGTCAGTGGAAAAAAAAATAATTTTAAGGGAAACGATTGAAGCAAATTTCAGGGACAGTGTTAAATGTGTTTTTGTCCAAATAGCAAAAATTGAGATCCCTGGGGAACTTAGTTGAACGAGCGGCAAATTATGTTACGAGAAAAATAAGCCAAATGCTGGTTCACAATGTTGCGGCTTTTTAATTTTTTCCTTCTAATTTTTTTTTGTTGGTGAAAGAGAGACCAGACGGTACTAAAATCTCAAGTTTGTAATTGGTATGGGTCACTTCCTGGGACCAGCGACCAAATCATATGAAATCAGCGGCTCTGGCTTGGAGTATTTCTGTAAGTGATCAACTTTGTGATTGATTTTCAATCCCTTCTGATCACACCGGTCTTCCAGGTTATTATAACAAGATCAGCCAGATGCCTGTCGTTCTAGTGCCGCTCCACTTCGACCGGGATCCCACAATGCACCAGCCCTCTTGCCAACGCAGCGTGGTCATACGCACGTTCATCACCAACGACTTCATGACGGGAATACCGGCCCAGCCGGGCAAACACCTTCCCGAAGAGGTAATTTCGAATAATTACTTTTATCTGTTCAAATAAATATGAAAGCATCCAAATCGAACGCAGTGTCATTTGTCTTCAGAACTTAACTCTAACAAGCTAAAACGCCTTTTTTTTCCTGTTCATGTCCAGATAAGAATTCTGAATGTACATTGCATCATTCAGAGAAAACAGAGAGAACGAGGAGAACCCTGGCCCTATTTTCATTGTGGATAAACCCTGCGCATGTCAAATAATGCATGTAGCCATTGTTTGGCATGTACACAGGTTTATCCACTACGAGGCAGGGCGAGGGTTCGCCTCGTTTTCTGAGAATGATGCAATCTACGTTTTCCTTAGAGGTGCTCTTTAAGGATAAAGTTGAGGTATTTCACAGTGTCATTGCTGTCGTCCACCACGAGTCCAGTCACAAGACCAGTCAGAAGTAANACCAACACAAAGCACGGGGGGTTCTCTCCGTCTCATACCTTGCTGCATATGAGTAAGGGGGCGAACAATGGCAAAGGAATGCTTTTGTCACAGTTCATTTGAACAGCTTGCGACATGGCAGGAGACTGGCTCGTAATGGACTTACAGGAGCGCGCCATGAGTTCGACTACAACACTGGTATGTTAGTATCTGACGATATCGTTAAGAGTAGTCACTTACCTCTGGCGTTGGTCGTTCTTTCTGGCTTCATCTTTGTAGGCTGTTGGCAGACTAGTGGAGAGTATTCTGACAGTGCCTGGCATATCCAGGGTCATGTACGACCTGACGGCCAAGCCGCCAGGAACAACGGAATGGGAATGATGCCGCGATATCGTCCAAGCCTGTCTGCCACATTGGAAGGTTGTCCTACTCAGATTTTCTCGGAAAGTTGACTATTTTTGTACGATAGCAAGTACATATTGGCTGCTTTACTGGCTGCTAGTAAGATTTTATCCATCTTTTCTTGCTGCTGTTTAGATTCGGACAATTTGCTTTGTGAATTGTGTAAAATATGAAAGTGAAGCAAAAATGTAAGCGACCAACCAAAAATGCACAAGTCGCCTGAGCCACTGTTAACTTCAAGATTTTTAATACAATCTTGCATGGTATACAGCAACAGGAATTCTCAGCATTTTTTTGACCCACGTAATGTCCATCTGCATTAGGATGACTGGCTGAGTGATACTTCAAAACCAAGCATTTAGTCTGCAATCTCTAATGCAAATTGAAATGGCCCTAAGACTCATTTTGTGGGATTCAGTCACAAATACTGAACCGGTGAAAGAGTGGCGTATAGACATATTTTTAAAATTCATTAGAGTGTTGATATTGACAAGGACAGTTATGTAGCAGTAGTTTTTCTTTGTCCTTTCAGGACAAGGTGTCCAGGGGTTTTTTTGGGAATGGGACATTTTAGGGAAATTGCAGTGATAAATTTGATACAAGCCTGGCAAAAGACGAAACTCGTCGCGAAAAATAGCAGGGTAAGATGATATTGCTGTTTCTTCTTGAACAGCGCAGTTGCCACTGCGTTATTGCTTGACGGAATCAAATAACCAGCTAGTTCCGTTGCAAATATACGTACATTTGTTTGGGGGAATCGCAATTGGATGGATTTCCTGGAAACAGTTTGAAGGTGATCGTCGGTCGCTTGCACAACTGGGTTCCTGTGCTTGTTTTGTTTGCGTGTTTGACTTTTATCCACGTTAGGAACCTACACAAGGTGCTTACCCAAGATAGACGGCGTTTCATCCAAATTTACATTCAGACTTGTTGCTGTGGACACGCACCTGTGCCGCACTTGGATGGCCCAGATATTGAGGCACACACGGACCTCGAAAGGGCATGAGTGTTGACGTGGTCAGCACTTGATGATGGAGACTTGTCGTGTTTTTGCATGTCGTACTTTCAAGAAAGCCTTAGGGATATTTTGTGAATCTTCTTTGTCGTGTGCCCACATTGATAAGTTTATTTGCAATTCGTTACATTTGAGACGATCACAAGACCAGACATGAGACCAGTCACCAGACCAATCACAAGCAACGTGGTGAACAGGGAGAAAGTAATACTTTGGTTGCCGTTCATTTTGAATACAGTAGCTTTGTGGCTCGAGTTCGGACGAGGTGTGATGTCAGTTTTGTAAAGCCCTGTGATCATTGAAGGGTCTCGGTTGCAGGTCTTTTGTTCGTTGCTCTTGTACTTACAAACGATTGATGTCTGTCCAGGCTGTGAACAAGTTGATTGGGGCTAAAGAGACGAGGTTGCACAATTCTTAGACCTCGTGACCATGTTTAAATTCTGTCCAGTGCTTCTGTTCTTGCCCCCACCTTTAAACCTTTAATTTTTGGAGTTACGCAGTTTCTGTCGATGTTATTTCAAGTTTAGTACATGTACATGGACGCCGCACGTGTGATAGGTATTTGAAATATTTCTAAGTTGGTGCTCGGATTCGCTGATCTTCAGATTCAGAAGGGAAAGAAAAAATGGAATGTTTATTTTGAGAACTCTCGGATCCGCCAACCAACAATTTACTGAAGTGTTTAAAGAAATCTTTTTTAATTCCGCTGTCCCACAAAGTTCCCAGTCCTCGGCTGCCAGCTCCAGTGGTGAGGGATACCATACCATTTTTTTTTTTCTGGAAATTTTTTTTCTTATTCTTCACTCCGACTTGAAGACCCTTATTTGTTTCTTGAGACCGTAGAAAATACTTTTGTTTTTTGTTTCTGTCCTTTAAACTTATTTATGTTTAAAAAATCTCAGCACCCACTTATAAAAAAATGCTGGCCAAAGCAATGCTGTGTAGCACACGTGACCTACAATGCGTGTGCATTGCAACTGAAAGTTACACTGTGAACGGAAACTTGAAAATGTTTGCCTCCATGTGAAAAGGCTTGAAAATGTTTGCCCATCCGTGTGAAAAGTTTGAAAATGTTTGCCCACCCGTGTGAAAAGGCTTGAAAACGTTTTCTGGCTCTTGTAAAAAAGCACGACAACATTTTCCCACTTGTGTAAAGAGGCATGAAATTCTTTTCCCTCTGTGGGAAAATTTGTACATATTTTTCTGAAATGAAAATAAATTCCCTTGGGAGAGAAAAGCGTGTAGGGAATTCCCCATTCCCAGGTTAGCTTTCAGCTGCAGTGCAATGTACATGTGCTGTGATAAAACATGTTCCGACGCAAAAGAGAAAAAAAAGGGCAAACAGAGGGTATCAGGAGCGTATTGAGACAAATTTTGAATAATTTTTTTTTCAGCCTGAGAAGAAGAAAGAGTAGTTTTTAAAGAATATTCATGACATTGCATGGATTCGGATGTTCTAAAACCGGGCAAGACCACTTCGCCCAGTTTCATCCAATTACCACACAACTTCTCTACCATCCAGGAAGTTGTGAGAGAAAGCATCAACCAACCATTTTTTTTCCTCCCTTGCTTGTTTTTGTGCGTGTTGTTAATTTATTGGGGCCGTAATTAAACATGAATGTTGTTGCACTAGTGGTTATGGTAACAGGTGACGGGGTTTGGAGACACAATAACAGCTGAAAAAGTTTTGGATTCCTTAGAATTATATCCATGGGCATTATTTGGTATCTTCATTTGTACTTCATGTAACAAGCACCAAAAAAATGGCTTTTTTTTTTTAGTAAAACGAGCAGGTCTCACAGTGCGTGAAATGTAGCCCACCAAATTGGCGGGACAACAGCGGCTGAAGTGATATTGTAACCGCTTGATTGGACATATACCTAAGTCAAAGGGGAGTGGAGTTGCAGTGGGGGTTCTTTCCTCGCCTTCCACCTCTTTGGTCCCGGGTTCAAATTGGGTTTTCAGTTCTCACCTGGTTCCTGGGTTTTGCCCAGAATATTCCTCTGGGGTTTTCCTCCCACCTCCAAAACTGTAACTGCTTCTCATTGTCTCCTCTCTACAGGTTTCTTCAGGCTTTCAGGCCACAGTGCCTAGGGCACTTTTGAGGAATCCTTGGTGTCATTACCAGAAATGATTACTAATCATAATAACTTGACGACACACTCGCGAGTTTACGTGTCATGAGCACACACAGAAATCAGAGTGAAAATTCCAAAAGGATTTTGATTTGGCGACTTTGCTTCGACATTTTTTTTTGTCCGACCGCACCAAATAAACTGTTGGGTGCCCGTCCATAATTTTTATGACCTCAAAAACTGAAGAGATTAAGGGTTGATCAAGGTCAGCCCATCTTTAGCGAAAGTTCTGTCCTCAATTCTACGAGGAAAGGTGCCACAAGGTTGAGTTAAAAAAAATACAGTGCATCGCGCTCGTATGACGAGGTGTCGCATGCGGTAGAATGTTTCTTCGCATCGTGAACACACATTCATGCATACATGTATTATGTATGCTACTGGTCTGCCGTCTACTTTGTTACCTTCCAATTAACCAATTGCACCTGCCCAGTCACATGACCTACAGTGGGTATCAAACATGGTGTCCTGCCATAGCAAAGTGTGTCACAAGTGTCATTTGCTAAACGTAAAGCCGGCGGTCAGTGAAGTACATGTAGTCAACTTCTTTTTGGTAAACACACTTTGCTCCGGGATACCCGCTATAGGTCACATGACTAAACTGGCGCAAACAGTTAATTGCATGTTGATAGCCTGTACGGCAGTAACACTGGAAAACCAGCCTTCTGTTTGCTCATTAATCTACTAACAAAAACACTGAAATTTGAATTTATAAGGGTTTGCACTCAGCAATCCCTGATCTGAAAGGGCAGGTTTCGTTGTTCAGGTACAATGTCTGTGTGAGTGGTGTCATCAAACCTTCTGTTTGCTTATTAATCTACTAACAAAAACACTGAAATCTGAATTTATGAGGGTTTGCACTCAGCAATCCCTGATCTGAAAGGGCAGGTTTCGTAGTTCAGGTACAACGTCTATGCGAGTGGTGTCATCCTGGAGTATTCATCGTGAGATTCGCCACACTTGGAAGGTGAATTTGAAGGTATATGTGATGTACATGTTTGGTATGGCATCACATATTCTTACCATTTATATTTGTCTTTCATGCCATGTACGAATGAGCCGTTAGTCTATCGTTTTCGCTTTCCAAAACCTTGTTCAGCAAGACACCAATTATTGGTGTGCCTGGTGGTATAGAAATCCTTATTCATATTTCACTGAATTTTTAGAAATTACGTATCAGTCCAAAATAACCTTTGCAAACTTGGGAAGTCTTTATTTTACACAGTTGATGGATTGAGAAGTCATTTTGAGAGGATGTTGCTGGAAATGTGAAATTCTTACAAATTTTTGGCACTTGATGCCGAACATGTTTAGTACCGGGGTCCTAAAAATAAGGATTGCTGATTTTATTACCAACCAGATCCTGAACCTTGATATAATTTATACCGGGCATTCTACACGACATTTTTCACACGACGAGCCACTCTTCATCGAGGTTCCATAAATTAATATCTTAGGACGTCAGACTAACCTGATGCTAAAGGCATTTCTCTTTTTTCTTCACCAACAGTAATTTCTGGCACACCAAGTCTTGATGGGAAATTTTTTAAAGTGCCGTGCCTCATAAACTGTAAATTTGGTTGTGGTGTTTGTTCTGTAGAAATTAGACACACTCCTGACGAGTATCGTGAGTGTGTGGAAAGGATTCAGCAATGCAGAATAAAGAGTGTACATTTTGTTTGGTAGACGGAGTCTGCTGTTGTCTCTTTTTCATTCGTTTTGAATTCTCAGACATTCAAAGTTTATATTAACCCCTTTGCGCTGGGACGCGGCTAGAAACGCCGTAAACATTGAGATCCTCAGCCCGCTTTTCAGTTATTATTCTCGGCCCGCGTTCGAGCGAACACGGTGAAAGAAGGCAGACCCTGGCTCTTGTATATATGGTGATTGGCCTTTGTGTGTAGCCCAGAAATGAAAAGACCGACTTTGCATCATAATCACCAGCTTCACAATAGTTTCCACTTTGAAAAGGGGCAACGGGAATGTGGAAGCTTGAGTAGAGCTGCATGCCACCGAACAATCAGCCTTTTCACCGTGTAATTCAAAGTGAGCACAGCATGCAGGGCCACAAACCGAGAATTTGAGGTTTGGCAGGTGGCCTTCATGGCCAAGCGAGGCTGGAATTCTTGGAGTCGGCTTTCAGAAAGAAATTCCCGTCGTCAAGGGGTTTAATAACGGGGATCATCTGCATTGACACCTGAGTCCAGTTTAAATTCCAAGGATATGAATCCTTTTCCACCTCTGCTTACCTGTTGTGGTGGTGGTGAGGCACAAACATTCAAACATCATAAATCTGACTAACAATCGTCTCAGCATTGTGTCAAAAAATCTAAAAATGAACAAAACTAGTGTTGAAAATACACTGCAGTGGGAACTAACATTTCAGTATTTGAGGTGTCTGTAAAAGTTGTTCATTATATCTTGCTCGATTTCAAAACTCAAAATCTTTGGCCAAAATAGCATCTAAAGTGGAAAAAACCACCATAGATCGAGGGAAAAAAGCGTCTCAAACACAATCAATCTTTCTGAGGGAAATAAGAATAACTCGGAATAGACAAAACATTTGCACAATTGCGTTAACCTTGAAAATCTTGCCAACTAGTGTTAATCCACCACCATTACACAAACAACCCCTGGTTTCAAACTTTAAGTAGAAATACAAGTCCTGTACAATACTCCACATAGGGTGGAAAAAAATCATCGTTCACATACATTGTCACATTGACTCGAGTTCGTGTGACGTTATTGTGACCAATGTCCTTCCTTCTTGAGCGATGATTCGCACATGATGCACACTGACATGCCGTTGGTTACTGTTGGAGTCAATGTTGTTTACGAGTCCATATTCATGTTGTGATTTGGGCAAGTCACTCGACCCCTATGTGCCTCTCTCCACCAAGGAGTAAATGGGTACCCGTGAGGGCAGACACGGTAGTGTTTTATAGCAGTTTGCACCGAAATGGCAGCACCGGGCTAGTATACTCCCCAGGGAGCTGAGATGGTTTCAGGCATGTTCAGATGATGTGTGAGCCCAGTGTGCAAGGATAATGATAAAACAGTGCAAGAAGACATTCCGTAATTTGCGCTATATAAGAAGTGACTATTACTATCATTCGGTCATAGGCCAATTCACAAGCTATTCAAATCGGCTGTGACAAAAGCATCCTTTTGTCATTGTTTAACCCTGTTACTTCTGACTGGGCTCGTTTAGGGACTTCTGACAGGACACGTGGTGGGCTGCAGTACAACACTAGTTGGAGTCCTGGGCGAGTTGCACAGTCTGCCCTACAAATTACTGTACGTCTGTACGGCGATGTGTTCTGCTCCACGCCCGTACGAATTTCGGCCCAGCACTGCATTTTTGCTGTCAAAGTGCATGTTATTGTCCAGCAGACATGCCGACTGAACGCCGGGTTCATACTTGGAACAAAGGCAAACGACAACGTGTCATCCTCGCTGCAAATTCACAAACGTTGAATGCATTTCAACTCGAGCGGATACCACGACAAACAGTCCGTGACGTCAAATCCACTTCGCTTGTGTGCATTCGCCTGAAGTATGAGCCCGCCTTCAGGCAAATCCAGCCAATATCGGGGAGTACATGCACATGTAAGCGGACAACTTTTTATACAGTGTCTAAAAAACAAACAGGTACGCTACAGCACATTAGCGCCGAGTGCGTTAACATGCTGGCAAGAAGCTCTTCTGTTTTAAGACTTAAATACGTCCAATTCAACAACATGAACACTTCACAACGAACGCTCTACAAGGTTGGGGCACTTTGCCCATAATCCAAGAAATTCCCTTGCTCAACTTATTTGTACCTTATTTTATTTCTACGTGTAAATGGTAAACAGATAATGATTACTATCCACGTCTGTCTCTTCAGTAAGTTTTACTTCTATATTTGCACACTTCAGTTCTGGTCAGTGAATATACTCGTTAAGATGTAAATGTACATTTTGGTAGCATTTTTTTGGTACAAATTCATGCAAACATTCAGATGTCTGTTTTTCACCGTACATGTACTGTCGTACATGGGAAATAAAAACAAAATGTAGTGTCTGGCGTGTACCACCGTTGAGGTCAACTCCGATATCTTCCACGATTGCATTCAATGCAAAGTTGCCAGCCTCCATCGTGGGCACACGTTTTGTTAGAAAACAGCACCATTACGAATGACAGATCTGCCTTTGAGAAGCTGTCATACGAGGACTCCATATCAAGTATCTGACAGAACTTTTGGAGTGTTTTTAAGTTTGGGATTATGGCGGAGATCACAGTTTTGCCCAGCAATGGGAAACGAGGCGTCAACATCTGCATCCGAATGACAAACGGGGCGCCGAATTTGTTGAAATTTTGTTTCTTTCACGGGCATCCGTGAGCAAAGTAAGGTACCGAAACTGGCCAACTGGGGGGTTCAACAGACGCCGAGACGCCCCTGCCCCTGGAAACCCTGACGAAGACCTCATGATGAATGTGTGTGTTCAGGCCGCCACTGCAAGCCGGCTGATATCTTCTGATCGGTCTACGTTCTCAAACTACTCAAAGTGAACAACGGCTATTTTTTTTTTTCCTCTGGCGAGGGTTTGTCTACCTGGTGTAGGTTGCGTCGATCTGCGTAACCGAGGGAAGGGCCAGCTTGATCTTCTTCCTGTACATTGGGTCTTTGGCGATGGGGTTGTGCTCAAAGTACACGGTCTGGAGTGTGGTGGCGCCCTTCAGCTGGTCCACATCGGGCCAGTGGTCTAGCCGATTGTTGTTAAACTGTTCAGGAAAGATGAATAAAGACACCACATGCAGCTATTGTTCATGACACAAAGTCTGAATAAATCCTTATCATCTGATTGATGGATCGTCGATCATGTGACACTGAATTATTCATCTGAACACATGGCACACTGACACAGCCGAAATGGAAGTTCCATTCTGCTGTTAAATGGAAGTTCAACAGTTTGGTCCAAAGAAATTTCTAAACTCGCAGTGATGCAAGGATTTATTCAGATGATGCAGGACTTCATTCAGGACTTAGGAAGGCGGTGTACAAAAAAGAAGGCTTCACCTCATGGAAATGGAACATTCCACCTGTCACCTTGTACAATCATTCTTACCACTGGACTCATATAAACATTCATTATTTGCATAATGTGATGGTATCGTTTGATGTTTAGAAGGTCAGATCTGTCACATGAATTGCACAATAGGTTTAGGGTTGAGGTGTGAATATTTAAAGGGTCCAGGAAATAAATTTTTCTTAGAATCACTTCTTGTGTATCTCTGAACTCTTCTTCAAAGTATGAAGACTGTTTGACATTTTTTTGAGTTAATACGTTAACTGAAAAGTGCACTTTTTGAACATTCCAAAGTTTCTGGTCAAGTGAGGGCGCTTTTCCTTTGATGTTAATCAAGGAACACATGGTTCAGTTTATGTTTTCATGTTCAAATTGTGAACTTCAAATTTGCTATCTGAAAAATTTCCAGTGAAAAGGTTAATTTCCAAAAAATTGCCAAAGAAATTAATCTAAGATGGCAGTGTTTAAAAAAATCTAGAAATTTTCTGTGCACAAATCAGTGCAACATTGAGCCTCGGCGCCTTGGATGACATTGTAGTTTTGTTCATGAACATGCAAACCATTAGCATAAAACCGACAAAGCTCCAAAATTTGGGTTAAAATTGCCAAACAAAAATTTTAAAGCAGGTAAATTGAAACCCGGAGGTGCATTTTCAAGGGTTTTAGTACAATTTAGTAAATTATTCCTGATTTCATGGTCCCTTTAAATAAACCGGTTGAAGCTCATCATCGAACGTGATTAGAAAACACTAGTCTTCAAGTTGTTTACGTAAAATTGGTGCAAATTCAAAAGACGGCGACAATGACCTGTTTTATCAATTGTACATCAAATCATGATGGCCTTACAACAAACCAATTCATTTCAGTCCTGCACCGCGCAGGGCAAGTTGTTGGGGGGTACAAGTCAATTTGACCAAAGCTCACCCAAAACTCTTCCAGCAATACGAGATGGCTGATGTTCTCTAGACGGGATATCCGGTTACCGGCCAGATCCAGGGTGGTCAGTTTGACCTGTACAGAAAAACAATTCCACAATGCATCACATCCCTGTGCTAGATAGAGCAACGCACCCAACCTGTGTAGGCTTGTTCCAAGCAGTCGTCTGAACCAGTTGAGCCGTCATCCCCTGGCTTGCTTTCCGCCAGTGTTTTACAGTTCTTAACAGAGTTGCGCTGGCAAATGTTAATACATGTATAACGTTTCAGAATTAATTTTTTTACTGGAAATTGGAAAAACAAATTGAAAGACACACATGAAAAGTCATCCACCCTCATTCTGGAAGCAATTCTGTGAGACGAGAGATCTTTCTCAATCCTGCAAACTCTGTCAAAAGCGGCCGGTGGATTTTGACATCTGAAATAATTAATGGCCTCTTTACAAAGTCAGGTGATGACTGAATACGGTGAAAGAAAACGGTATGCACGTACAATTTTAGAAAACTGAAGTTCATTGCCTTATCACAGAGTTTGTCCGCTCTCGGTGTGAACGGTCCCCACAGGGAACCACTGTGTTTGACATTTTTTTAATTGCAACCTGTGTAAATGGGCCCCGAGAGCCAGCAGATATCAATAAGTGCACAGTTTTGCCCCAGACTATTATTCCATTCCCTGCAACTTACATTCTGGTCTAGATTCTCGATCGTCTGGATACCGTTGTGACTGATGTATAACTCTTCCAGATTTTCCAGTTCCTCCAGACCTTCTAGCTTGACGATACGATTACTCTGAAGGACGGAATTAAAGACCATTCACTGAAATGTACTTGGGAGAATGGATTAGGTTCAGTCAGTTGGGTTTTGGTTTTTGTAGGGTTGTGGCTTTTCAGATGACACTGTCAAGAGATAGGTTTGATGGTTAGAAGGAGGAACTAACTAGGACCTTTCCTACAAGCCTGATATGACATACCTGTATGCTGAGCACTCTGAGGTTCTTTAAACTTCCAAGGTTCTCTAGCTTTGAGATCTTGTTCTTCCCCACGAATAAACTCTCTAGATTCACCAGCGCGTCCAAGTTCTCCAGTTTCTGGACAAAGAAGAACGCGACAGCGCCTTCTGTTACCAACCTCAGAAACATTCACAAACAGCAAAGAAAAAAGTAGTTCTGAAAAAATTTGAAAGGCAATTGAAAGTTGGCGCTAAAAGCAGGACACGATTAAAACTATTCACGCAACACCACTTTTAAAGTGTGTCAAATGTGTCAATATGGCATTCCAATACTGTCAAATTGTCCACCTCCTATCTTTTCCTAAAATCAAGCTTTTAGGCCCAAAATAAATCCCAGCTGGCTCTATCACGGCTGTTTGAGTTTTAAGGCAATATGCTACGAGACAAGACTCATATTTACCCGGATTCGGTTGTCGCCGAGCTCCAACATCGTCAGTTGGCTGAGGTGGCTGACGTTTTCGATTGTGGAGACCTTATTGTTGATGACGAAGAGCTTCACCAGATTCACCAGGCTATCCAGGTTTTCCAGCTTACGGATCTTGTTGAAAGACAGGTCCAGTATTCTGCAAGGTATCCTCAAATTTTAGTCAGTTACGAGTTCTGAATGATTTGAAATGCTTAAACATTTGTGTCAAAATTATACGGCCAATGCTCCCGAAACCCTTATGAACCATGACGTTGGTTTCCAAGCGCATGAAACCAGGGAAAAAACAAATTCAAATGTTTACAGAAGAACCCAGTAACCACGGTCATGCTCTTATGATCATCTGCGGTGGCCCCCACCAATGGCAGTAGGCACTGTGATAAATATTGTATGGAGTCACTATCCCCATGAGCACTTGCTCTTTACAAAATTCACTTAAAGGAGACAATCAGAAAAGTCCAGTGGAACGGCATTAGATCTTTCTATATTTAACATATTAAAGGGGGGACATGTGCGTTACTGCACCTACTTCAAATTAACCAGTGCACCGAGGTTCTCAATGGTGGTGATGGCGTTGTCGTACACGTCGAGCTCGGTCAGTGTGGTCAAAGATTCCAGGTTCTCCAATTTCTTGATCAAGTTCTGACGCAGGCAAAGAGTCTGGACATCCAACGTTAATATAAAAAAAGCTCTGGAATTATATCATTTCAACCTCCAAAATTCACTTTACCGAGAAGACGGAGAAAAGTCAACAAATCCAGGAAAGCCTCGATAGTGAACAATGTCTGCTGTTAGTGCCAGGCAGGTCAGAGGTACATCAACTTTGACAAACTCTGAGCCCAAATCGGACCCGGTATCCATGTACAGGGCATTTCCAATGACCAATGTGACCCAACGTGCATCCACCAATGTCATGGGAAAGGACCGAAGAGTCATGCACATGTAGGTAGTAGACAATCCTTTGAAACTTTGATATCCGGTTCGTAAGTGACTTCGTCACAAAGGCGGGCATGCCACGATTTGCAAGCTCCCATCAGACGATTGCTGAAGTTGCGCGTTAACTTCTGGTTCCATGGTTCCGTGTAAATGGCAATCAATGCATGTAACTCTATGCGCAGTGCATGTGCAGTGGGCGTGGTTTAAACTGGAGTGACGTCACATTTACAAACCGGATTGGAAAGTAGTCTGAGAAAAAATGTGGAGCTCAGTGTTACTAGTCGAGATCACTTAAGACTTTCACAAGACCAGCACAAGACCACTTAGGACCTTCAACAGACAATCACAAAACCACTTAGGACCTTTACAAGACCAGCACAAGACCACTTAAGACCTTCACAAGACCAGCACAA